CTGAATGAATGAATGTGTGATTGATTGATCAATTTATTGTTTAATTGAGTGAGTGATTGGATAATTATTGATTGATTGTTGATTGATTGACTTAATGAATGTTTAATTGATTGATCAATTGATTGTTTAAATGAGTGAGGGATTGGATGATTATCGATGGATTGTTGATTGACTGACTGAATCAATTAATGTGTGATTGATTTATCAGTTTATTGCCTAATTGAGTGAGGGATTGGATGATTATTGATTGATTGTTGATTGATTGATTGTAAAATGTTAAGTGAAGCTGAACAAATGCGCATCACTAAATGGAAGAACATCTTTATCAGAAATTATTGGTAATACATAAGACAGAAGGCTAGGACAGACATGGTATCCAACATCATAACTAAGAAATAATAAGCTGGACTGCACATGAGACCTCCTTTCTTTCTGCCCTTATCTGATACAATTATGTATTTGAACTAACTACCCAAGAGATCTGAGACCATTGATTATAAGAAAAAGCACATTTCTAATCTAATGTATCCTTTCAAAATGTTCCTACCGCAAATCTGTTTCAGGCGTGAAAAATTGAAAGACACTTTGAATCTTCTACTACGAAGAGGTGCAGACCCAAATACTTCTTGCGTGCCATTGCCAGTTTTGCTTTTGGCTGTGAAGTCTGCAGATGTGGAAATGGTTCGGTTACTTCTCCTAAAAGGAGCAGATGCAAATGTCAGAATGAAGAAAGAGGTAAAATATTTGTGTCTTTCATTATATTTATAGCATAACTGTAGGGTTAAAGCTTAAATGTTAAAATCAAGAGAATGTACTTCATTGCACTAGGTTTTATCCCATATGGCTCAGTCTCTCTCAATAGAATGGCTAGCCGCCTGCCGAGAGCATCACACAAAGCTCCAGTGGCGATCCCCCAGGATCTCTCTAAAAATTGCACTATGAACTGAATAACGCAGTCGTGAAATGAACCCATGAAATTCAGAAGGCAAGGCAAACTGCTTGACCGACACACCACAAAGACCCCTAAAACTGGGTTTCCACAGTATAGCTATAATATGGTTGAATGTGTTTCTAGGCTGTGTTTGTTTATCTCATACTTGAGATACTCCTACAGTCTGCCATCCTGGATGGATGGGACTGAAATATTTTTTGTTGAAAAGCTTATTTGTTGACAGGGAGTTACCGTGGTATAGCGGCTAGATGCTCACTTGCGGATCAGAAGGTTGTGGGTTCAGGTCTCGATGGAACCAGGCTTTCTTAAAAAATGACCTTGGCTCCCAAATCGACCCAGCCTTGAGTGGGTACCAGTTGCAGTCCTGGGAAGTAAAGGCGGCCAGCATGATGTTGACATCACCCACCAAGTGCCGATTGGTCTATAAAATATAGGTCTAGCCCTGTATGCTTAGTACTCATCAAGGCCTGGAAAAGGGTCCTTTAACTTTACTTTTTGTTACCAGGGTTCATGAGGGAAGCAAAGAATAGAAACACTGAAATCTGGTATTTGTATCATAAGAGGAAAGCCAACTTGGCAAATTGTTTACCACAAGAGGACTCACAAGCCCAAGGGTTTCTGACAGAAGACGTCGAGGGCCATCTAACGGAAACAACTCATGCCGTCCCATCCTTTACTTTCATATGCAACTCACCCTTTGTCCTCCCCATTCTTTAACTTTGCTCTATAACTCCCTTCTGATTCTCTCTCTCTCTCTCTCTTTCTGTGTGTGTGTGCATGCGTACGTGCGTGAGTGCATGTGTGTGTGTGTATGCATGGGGGTGAGGGGTAGCGGTTGTGGTAGTTTAAGTGTGTCTTCATTGCTTTGCCCCTGTTGGGGTCAGGGCAATGACATTTGAGTTTTTATGTTTTCACAGTGTGTGTCCTAGTCAACACCAGCGTCTTTTCCTCATCTTTCGATTCACTGGAATATGTTTAGTTCTTCTCCAAAGCTCTATATTGGTTATAATCTATATATATACAAATCAATGTTTGTGTGTTTGTTTATGAGCTATAGACTCGGAAACTACTGAACCGATTTAACTGAAATTTTCAGGATATGTTTGTTTTGATACCGGATGTTCACCCATCATGGTTTGAAATTCAACCTGTCATTGTTAGAGATAGTTTGCGACAATTTAAGCAAAAATATTTGAAACTAATATTTAAATTGTTGGTGACATCTAATTATAGCCACGTTAGTAATTGCGTCAGAACGCAAGACTTCACCATTCGCCGGTGAGTTACGTGCAGCCAACACCTTCTCTAATGCATAGAGTAGGTCGTGGTACAGCAAACAAGACTATCTCTATATTTGTGTAGGCAGTGATTGCCACAATAACCATATTAAACACAATTTCGATTTTCTTGTTTTTTTTTTTCAAACAACCTTCCAATGGGGGGGGGGGGCGCATCAAGGACTATCTCGACGTCGGCGCAGACATTGACTGCGACATTAACTTCATTAACCGTGTTAGACACGTGCGATTTCTATTGTTGTGCCGTTTCATTAATATATCTGGAGTATCTGTCTATGAGAAAACAATTGCCTACGGTTTTGAGTTGTTATAATCGGGACACAGTAGTAGGGACACACATCTCTAATAGTTTAGTTCTCTTTTCGTTGCTCCAATGAAGTGGCTGCTTGGTCGAATGGTAAAACACTGGGTTCCTGTGCGGGAGACCAGGGTTCGAATCCACAGTAGTTAATTTTTTCTTTTACCCCGGAATAAAATAATATCCTTATCTGCTCTGTTGTAGTGACAGCACTAGCCATGTTGCCCTTAATACTAAAAAAAAAAAAAAAAAAAAAGACAAGTAAATAGGTAAACCATTTGATAATTAAATTTGACCATTTCGCATACTTATGATTGCATTTTTAAACTTTCCGATTGCACGGTTACGCTGAAATTTCATAGCTTTCCATTTATTTTCATTTAGATCTAGTTATTTCATCTGCGTTGGAATTTTAAGCTGTGCTGTTTACCATAGCGTTCATTTCCTAATTATGGTGTTTTGTTCCTGTTTTCATTTGCTTTTCAAGTGTTTTGTTTTTCTCCCAACTACTTCAATGAGGGAAAGAGTTGTCGGTGAATTTGGAGGGGGGTGGGGGGGGGGGGGGGGGCAAACTGTTAACTGAGAGAGCTTTAAGTCACAGTAACTGCTTTACCCACTTAAAGTAGCAGCAGCAGTAGTAGTTGTGGTTGGGCTGTTACACCGTAGTGCTCTCATGTGAAGACCGCCAGTAAGGTTATGGCGTTCTTCTGTCGGGAAGCAAAATTATACATCCTAACCTGACCAGTCTGTGGCAACAGCACTAGCCATGCGGAACCAAATCTTCTGGCTCACGACTCTCTGTCTACTCCTATGGTAACACAGATAGAAGGGACATTATTTTAGCTACTGTGGTGGTGGTCGTGGTAGTAGTTGTACTGGTACTTGAAGGATGATGTGGTAAATATTACACTATCCCCATTCACTACCTATTACAATTCCTGCTCCCCATTTTAGTCCGGATGGACAGGGATGTCAATGTCAGTTACAGCAACAACAAAATATTGCCAGGTAATGATTTTCAAATATTTCGAAGAGGGAGAGAGCAGTAGTCGGTGCAAGAGGGGAGGGGGTAATGACTTAAATTTAAGAGAACTTAAAGAGCTTTACACGTGATTTTTAAGTTCTCATTACCTAATTTGTTTATATTTTACTAACGCTACCTCCGCTTTTCTATTTTTTACGACTTACTTTGTTATTTACAAGTACAGTTGTAGCTTTACTTCCGTCTCCTATAAAAATACAAACAGCTTTAGCATGTGATAACCAAATAATCATTTTTGTTACTGTGCTAATAACACCATTTAAACGACCACTAATATAAAGACACAATTATAAGGTGCGTGTTCTAAAGTTGGAAAACCAGACTATCTCTATATCTGTGCAGAGAATGGTTGCGACATTAACTATATTAGACACGTGCGATTTCCATTGTCTTTCTTTTCCAAAAACCTTTGATGAGGGAGAGAGTAGTAGGTGGATTTAGTTGTGGTGGTGAGGGGGATGGGGGGGGGGGGGGGGTCAAAGACTATCTCTATATCTGAGACAATGATTGTATTAGACACGTGCGGTTTCTATTTTCTTTCATTGAAAGTTGAGAAAGTTCAGGGTAATTTTTCCAACTACTTCGATGAGGGAGAAAGTAGTAGGTGGGTGGTTAAAAAAAACTGTTTACTGAAATAGATTTAAGTTACAGTAACTGCCTTATCCACTCAAAGTTTTATTAGCTGTGGTGTTTAGCTGTTGCACAGTACATCGCTAGCGTGAAGCGAAGACAAATTTCTATGTTCTCTGTTTTCCATTTAGCCAAATTATGCCACAGCAACGTGTGGCCGGGTACAGCTAGTGTTATATAAATTGCTACAATTGTTTAATTGATTTAGTTTCTCCAGGTCATGCTGGTATGTTGGGAAAGGAACAGGCAGACAGACTTGCTGGTTCTGCACTACTTGGTGGTGAACTGATGCATAACAATCTAGATGTTGTAAGGGCCCTTTAGGAGTGAGTAAACAGTGCGGAGGCACAAACAGATGATCACTGTCTGAGGAGAATGATACTGCGAAGAATGACCAGAGGATCTGGCTGATGCCTAATACTCAAAGGAGAGATGAGACAGACATATAATTACACTATTACTGGTACCATCAGAATTGGAACTCTGCATTTCCTGGTAAAGATAGTGATGCAGCACTTATGGGAATGTCCTGAGTGCTGTGGTGTCAATTCTCAATTCAACATTGAACGTAAATCTTTGTACAAAGAAGACACAAACAATAGATTGCACAATTTATTGCCTGGTGTATTTCGCTGTATCTTGTCAGGTGCATACTACAGTAACAATTACATAAATGAAGCAAATAAGTGAATACTTTATAATCAGAGTACACATTCAACAATTCAAATTTACAAAGGGGAAACATTGCTTTGATAAACCTGTGTATCTTTTTGATTATAGCAAGGAGGACTCTCCCCACTCCACATTGCTTGTGCTCTGCCAGGTGATGTGGGCATACAGATGACAGAGTTATTGCTACATGCCCTTGCTGACCCCAATGCCAGAGCTGAGGAGGATGATTCATTTCTGAATCATTTTTTGGTAAACACATGATGTCATTTTTATAAATATTTACTGTTTATGATGTGCTACTAGACACTAACCACTTATTAAAATTAGTAATGAAGAATTAAAAAATGTCACAGATTGTTTAGTTTCAGAAGTGAACAATGTAGAACCTGTTCTGCTGTATGGCAGCAAATCTTGGAATGTCAGTGAACAAATTAAGAGGAAAAATTTGGAAGCAACAGAGATGTGGTTTCTGAGACAAATCTTACGAATACCTTGGATGGCCAAAGTAACTAATAACGTTTGTTTGAAAGAAGCTAATGAAAGTAGATCTCTATACGCAACAATAAGAAAGAGACAAACACTGTTCTTTGGCCACATAATGAGAAGAGAGTCATTGGAGAACATCGTTACAACTGGAAAGATCAGTGGAAGGAGGGGTCGAGGCAGACCAAGAAAGATGATGCTGGATGGGCTGAAACGAATGCTTGGAGGGATATCATCAAGAGAGCTGTTCCAGGCAACCACGGATCGTGATCTGTGGAGACACATGAGCGCCTACGCCAGTCGGCAGGGTACATGATGATGATGAGTGAACAACAATGGTAACTACACAAAAGAAGTCAGAAAAACAAAAGACATGAAGAACCTATAGAACAGCACCTGCAAGTAAGTTAAAGTAAACGTTTTGAAATCATGCATCTTTTGCCTGGAATCTTATGAATGTGAATCAGGTATTGAACAAACAAATTAAAAACTTTTGAACTCAAATGCTACAGATAAATTGTTAGGGTACCATGGGCAGGAAAATGAAAAACACAGACATCCTGCAAGATCTGAGCATCAAGGAAAAGTGGCTCATAAACAGCATCTTGTTCCGAATGCGGAGGTATTTTGACCATTTGAAACGTCATGGTGGCCTGGAGAGAGCAGTGATGAGGATACAGTTTCCTCAAACTGGGGCAGGGGTCAACCTCTGCAAGGTTGCATTCAAGACATTAAAGATGCTTTGGTTATGAAAGCACATTGGGCAGGAGAATTGGCTAGAGAAAGAGAGACTTTTAGGTATGCCATGATGAAAGCAACTTTCTGTAAAGAATGTTGAATTAAGAAACGACATCACAGCACTCGGGAAATTCCCATAAGTGCTCAGTCTCCATCATCAGCAGCAAGCGAAGAGTTCCAATTCCATTGGTACCAGTAAACTGGTTTCTGTAATTTCTGTAAAGGACTTCCTAAATGATGATGATGATGATGATGTGCTAATGCAGATGAGAACAAGAGAATCAGACAACCAATGATAGACAGCAGGACGTACTACCAGATAAACTAAGTCATTAAATACAGCACAAAGAAAACATGACTACAATTATAACCAAAGCTTTGCAAAGCAGGTTGAACAAGGTCTTATTTTTTGTTTTTAAATTAATTTTAAATGTTGTGTTACTGTGAATAGCAAACCAAGAAACTCTAGACAGTATGATAACTAAGAGAAGATAGAAATGGCTTGGCCACATTATACCTGCCAAAACATGGATACCAGAGGGAAAGAGAAAAAAAGGGGCGCCCCCCCCAAAAAAACATGGAGATGAACAGTATTCTGATTACTCCTGAATAGACTTGGCCACGTTATGAGAATGAATCCTGATATACCTGCCAAAACAGCTCTCACCTCTATGCCAGAGGGAAAGAGAAATGGAAAGTGAACTGAGTGTGGCATCTCTGACATGGAAAACTGCACTGAAGATTGTACAGGCATGGAAAGTCTTCTCCGAAGCCTCTTGTACCACTGGGCATAAGAAGAATTGACAGGATGACATGACTTTGAATAGGATACTAGCTTATCAGTGTAGCGGTCTGGGTTTTATTCCTTAGCGACTAACAATTTTGATTTTCTGATGTCCAAGAAGTTGAGAGGGTATTTCTTTGTTGGTAGTTAAAAAATGATGAATAATTTTATATTTTCTTTTTTTTAAATGTTGCTTTAATAAATGGTGAATCTGTTTCTATCTTGGTTGGTGTTGAAAATTAAAATTAAGGCCAAGAGGATTGACTTCATCGCCCCTTATTACTCCATATGGCTATGTCTTTCTGGGCATAACACCCAGCCTGCCTGCCTGCCAAGAACATCCCACAAAGCATGAACTCTGTAGCTCCAATGATGATCCCCAGGGATCTCTGTAAAGGGCGCACCTACAAACTGAACAGTTTTTTCCATTAAATGAACCCATGTCTTTCAGAGCATGATGCAAATGGCTTGACCACTTCGCCACATAAACCCCCTTGATTGTGGTTGATAACTGTTGTTACTGTTTCATGTTGTAAATTGATTTTAACAAATGTTGAATTTGTTCTTTTGTTGTTTATTGTTAACAGATGTCAAATCCGTCCTTTTATTGGCTGTTGAAGCTGTTCGTTTATTGGTTGTTGAAGCTGTTCGTTTATTGGTTGTTGAAGCTGTTCGTTTATTGGTTGTTGAAGCTGTTCTTTTGTTAGTTATTGTTGATGAACATTAAAACTGTTCTTCTATTGGTTGTTGAAGCTGTTCTTTTTTGGTGTTGTTGAAGCTATTTCTCTGGGGTTACTGTTAATGAATGTTGAAGCTGTTCTTTTATTGTTTGTTGTTAATTAACGTTGAAGCTGTTCTTTTACTGGTTGTTGTTAATGAATGTTAAAGCTGTTCTTTTACTGGTTGTTGTTAATTAATGCTGAAACTGTTCTTTTATTGGTTGTTAATGAATGTTGAAGCTGTTCTTTTATTGGTTGTTGTTAATGAATGTTGAAGCTGTTCTTTTATTGCTTATTGTTAATTAACGTTGAAGCTGTTCTTTTACTGGTTGTTGTTAATGAATGTTAAAGCTGTTCTTTTACTGGTTGTTGTTAATTAATGCTGAAACTGTTCTTTTATTGGTTGTTAATGAATGTTGAAGCTGTTCTTTTATTGGTTGTTGTTAATGAATGTTGAAGCTGTTCTTTTATTGCTTATTGTTAATTAACGTTGAAGCTGTTCTTTTACTGGTTGTTGTTAATGGATGTTAAAGCTGTTCTTTTACTGGTTGTTGTTAATTAATACTGAAGCTGTTCTTTTATTGGTTGTTGTTAATGAATGTTGAGGCTGTTCTTTTATTGGTTGTTGTTAATTAATGTTGAAGCTGTTCTTTTATTGGTTGTTGTTAATGAATGTTGAAGCTGTTCTTTTATTGGTTGTTGTTAATTAATGTTAAAGCTGTTCTTTTATTGGTTGTTGTTAATGAATGTTGAAGCTGTTCTTTTATTGGTTGTTGAAGCTTTTCTTTTGTTGGTTGTTGAAGCTGATTTTTTGTTGGTTGTTATTGATGAATGTTTAAGCTTTTCATTTTGTTGTGTGGTAATAAATGTTGAATCTGTTGTTTTGTGTGTGTGTGTGTGTGTGTGTGTGTGTATGTGATATTTTTGATTGTTATTAACTTATGATAAATAGGTTGTTGTTAATAAATGTTGACTATATTTTGAATGAGGGGGGGGGTTGTTAGTTGTGTTTAGTTGGTTGTTACTAAGTTATGATAAACTGGTTGCTGTTAATAAATGTTAAATCTGTTCTCCAGGAAGAGGATTGGTCAAAAGATGTTATTCCAGAAGCGTCTAAATCCTTACTGGGAGGAAGGACACCACTACAGATTGCATGTAGCAGAGATGACGATTACAAGGTGGATAAATAAATGATTAGAGGATAGTTACAATGTTGATATGGTTAATAGTGTTAGTGGTTAGTTAATAGTTACAGGGTTGATGGTTTCACTGATTAGATAATAGTTACAGGGTTGACAGTTTCACTGATTAGATAATAGTTACATGGTTGATAGTTTCACTGATTAGATAATAGTTACATGGTTGACAGTTTCACTGATTAGATAATAGTTACATGGTTGATGGTTTCACTGATTAGATAATAGTTACATGGTTGACAGTTTCACTGATTAGATAATAGTTACATGGTTGATAGTTTCACTGATTAGATAATTGTTACATGGTTGATAGTTTCACTGATTAGATAATAGTTGCAGGGTTGACAGTTTCACTGATTAGATAATAGTTACAAGGTTGACAGTTTCACTGATTAGATAATAGTTACATGGTTGACAGTTTCACTGATTAGATAATAGTTACAGGGTTGACAGTTTCACTGATTAGATAATAGTTACAAGGTTGACAGTTTCACTGATTAGATAATAGTTACATGGTTGATAGTTTCACTGATTAGATAATTGTTACATGGTTGATAGTTTCACTGATTAGATAATAGTTGCAGGGTTGACAGTTTCACTGATTAGATAATAGTTACAAGGTTGACAGTTTCACTGATTAGATAATAGTTACATGGTTGACAGTTTCACTGATTAGATAATAGTTACAAGGTTGACAGTTTCACTGATTAGATAATAGTTACAAGGTTGACAGTTTCACTGATTAGATAATTGTTACATGGTTGACAGTTTCACTGATTAGATAATAGTTACAGGGTTGACAGTTTCACTGATTAGATAATAGTTACAAGGTTGACAGTTTCACTGATTAGATAATTGTTACATGGTTGATAGTTTCACTGATTAGATAATAGTTACAGGGTTGACAGTTTTACTGATTAGATAATTGTTACATGGTTGATAGTTTCACTGATTAGATAATAGTTACAGGGTTGACAGTTTTACTGATTAGATAATAGTTACAGGGTTGATAGTTTCACTGATTAGATAATAGTTACAAGGTTGATAGTTTCACTGATTAGATAATAGTTACAGGGTTGACAGTTTCACTGATTAGATAATTGTTACATGGTTGATAGTTTCACTGAATTGATAATAGTTACAGGGTTGACAGTTTCACTGTTTAGATAATAGTTACAGGGTTGACAGTTTCACTGATTAGATAATAGTTACAGGGTTAATAGTTTCACTGATTAGTTAATAGTTACAGGGTTGATAGTTTCACTGATTAGATAATAGTTACAGGGTTGATAGTTTCACTGATTAGATAATATTTACAGGGTTGACAGTTTTACTGATTAGATAATAGTTACAGGGTTGATGGTTTCACTGATTAGATAATAGTTACAAGGTTGACAGTTTCACTGATTGGATAATAGTTACAGGGTTGATGGTTTCACTGATTGGATAATAGTTACAGGGTTGATGGTTTCACTGATTGGATAATAGTTACAAGGTTGACAGTTTCACTGATTAGATAATAGTTACAGGGTTGATATTTTCACTGATTGGATAATAGTTAGAAGGTTGATGGTTTCACTGATTAGATAATAGTTACAAGGTTGATAGTTTCACTGATTGGATAATATTTACAGGGTTGATAGTTTCAAAATGTGGATGATTAGATGACCATTACAGGGTTGAAAGTTTGCTGTGCTAACATTTATGTAAACTGTATATGCTGACAGTTTGTATCTATTTCATGTGCTAACTGTTTGTGTCTGCCTCCTGTGCTAAAAGTTTGTATCTACCTCCTGTGCTAACAGTTTGTATCTACCTTCTGTGCTAACAGTTTGCATCTACCTCCTGTACTAACAGTTTGTATCTACCTCCTGTGCTAACAGTTTGTATCTACCTCCTGTGCTAACAGTTTGTATCTACCTCCTGTGCTAACAGTTTGTATCTACCTCCTGTGCTAACAGTTTGTCTCCACCTCCTGTGCTAACAATTTATATCTACCTCCTGTGCTAACAGTTTATATCTACCTCCTGTGCTAACAGTTTATATCTACCTCCTGTGCTAACAGTTTGTATCCACCTCCTGTGCTAATAGTTTGTATCTACCTCCTGTGCTAACAGTTTTTATCTATCTCCTGTGCTAACAGTTTGTATCTACCTCCTGTGCTAACAGTTTGTATCTACCTCCTGTGCTAACAGTTTATATCTACCTCCTGTGCTTACAGTTTATATCTACCTCCTGTGCTAACAGTTTATATCTACCTCCTGTGCTAACAGTTTATATCTACCTCCTGTGTTAACAGTTTGTATCCACCTCCTGTGCTAACAGTTTATATCTACCTCCTGTGCTAACAGTTTATATCTACCTCCTGTGCTAACAGTTTGTATCTACCTCCTGTGCTAACAGTTTGTATCTACCTCCTGTGCTAACAGTTTGTATCCACCTCCTGTGCTAACAGTTTATATCTACCTCCTGTGCTAACAGTTTATATCTACCTCCTGTGCTAACAGTTTGTATCCACCTCCTGTGCTAACAGTTTGTATCTACCTCCTGTGCTAACAGTTTATATCTACCTCCTGTGCTAACAGTTTGTATCTACCTCCTGTGCTAACAGTTTTTATCTACCTCCTGTGCTAACAGTTTATATCTACCTCCTGTGCTAACAGTTTGCATCCACCTCCTGTGCTAACAGTTTGTATCTACCTCCTGTGCTAACAGTTTATATCTACCTCCTGTGCTAACAGTTTGTATCTACCTCCTGTGCTAACAGTTTGTATCTACCTCCTGTGCTAACAGTTTGTATCTACCTTCTGTGCTAACAGTTTGTATCTACCTCCTGTGCTAACAGTTCGTATCTACCTTCTGTGCTAACAGTTTATATCTACCTCCTGTGCTAACAGTTTATATCTACCTCCTGTGCTAACAGTTTGTATCCACCTCCTGTGCTAACAGTTTGTATCCACCTCCTGTGCTAACAGTTTGTATCCACCTCCTGAGCTAACAGTTTGTATCTACCTCCTGTGCTAACAGTTTATATCTACCTCCTGTGCTAACAGTTTGTATCTACCTCCTGTGCTAACAGTTTGTATCCACCTCCTGTGCTAACAGTTTGTATCCACCTCCTGTGCTAACAGTTTGTATCCACCTCCTGTGCTAACAGTTTGTATCTACCTCCTGTGCTAAAAGTTTGTATCCACTCTTGCAGGATTCTTGCAGCATCGTCAGACTATTACTGGAACATAAAGCAGATACCAACCTCCTGTGCAATGGGTTCTCTCCCCTGGCTTTGGCTATTGCCAGTGGCAATGATATGGTGCGCCCACTGGTTTTTTTAATAATATTTATTCAGTTGTGCTTATAGCATGTACACAGTATTCACTGAAGTGAATTTGAGTAATATATGATTGTTAAATGGGTATTAGAGAATTTTTAGTTTAAAAACTCATACGTTATTATTAGAATTCATCTTATTGTTGTTGTTGTTGTTCTTCTTCTTCTTCTTCTTCTTTTTCTTTTTCTTTTTCTTCTTTTTTTTCTTTTTTTTCCTCCTTCGCCTCTTCCTCCTCCTCTTTTACTTCTTTTTCTTTATGTTCTCACATACCCTCTCACTTTGGGTGTCAAGTTTTGTTATAATGGATCATGCTGACATTGTTTATGCTCTTAGAGAGAGATAGGACAATCCCAGGATTTTGGGAGCACCCTGTCCACATCACTGCTAAGAATACAAGAACTGGGAGTAAAGATCGGCACAGCCAAGCATGAGAGGCACACTGGACTTATACAAAATCTTGTTAACCAGCATAGGACTGGCAGTATTAACCACTGGACACCAATGTATATAATGAAGGGAGAATCTGAGCACCTGTGGATATGTCCTGAGTGCTGTGAAGATAGCTAAACTCATAACTCTCTCTGCAGAGTAGCTGCGATCATCACAGAAAGCACAAACTACATAGCTCATGCAAAGATTTCCAGGGTTCTAAAGTGGCATTCATGAATGAATTGATGCAATCCAAAAGCGAACCCATAACTTTCAGATCATGAATCAAATGACTCGACCACTTTAAGATGGCTATGCAGTGAATTTTCAACCACAGTCCTTGGATCAATCGGCGGTCAGGGCAGCCAATAGATCCCCACTGGAACGCTTCATATCTAGGACTCAAACAACCTCCTCACATGAAATAAACAGATCATTATATTTAGACTGTGTACTGGACACAACAGACTCTGCACTTGTATGTACACAAATAATTCAAGATTGGGGAATCAGAACTTTAACCATGTGAACAGGCACCACAGAATACTGAACATATGCGATTCATCAAAGTCATCCCCTCGTGGGTGGCAATTTTTTGTTATTTTGAAGCCCAACCCTGACTTTTGCCAGAGGCCCTAAATATAGCAGGGGCATAGATATGGCCTAGCCATAGATATGGCTTAAACGGCTGAAAGGGGTTTCTGGGTCCTCATCTCCATGGTGGCACCTTGTGTCACTGGGTGTTTATTGCTTGTGTGATGTCCTGGTCGGGTACAAATTACATACATACTAAACATATGCAACAGACACGCATAGAGAATGCGGTAGAGAACAGTATGCTTTATGCAACAGACATGCGGTAGAGAAATCTGGCTTTAGCTGGTTGCCTTTCCATTGGAGACCAAGCTGTATGAAACAGTGGAAGACATGTGTAGCATCTTAGACTTCAAAAAGGCCTATGGCCTTCTCCTCTTAAAGCCACTCACAGGGAGAATGAAAAGAAGAAAAAGGAAGAAGAAGAAGCATAATCCTTGCCCATACAGAACTGTAGTTTACATCAGGCCAATGAAGGCCCATTTGTAACTTCTTTAGGGACTGAAGGGAGTACCTGTGATTTGCCCTGTTGGTCTGTCATCCAGACTGAGACTTTTTTTACCACCTCAGGTCAAACCTGAAAAAATAAAAAGTTGTCCCACCGGGCTGCTGCCTGAAGGTTTACCATGCCATACTGAGATTATAAAATCTGAGTCTCTGGGCGGCAGACCAGGACAGATCCAAGATACCCAGTTCATACTCCAAATAAGAAATAATTAGGTCACCCATAAGAGTTATATCAGCTACGTGTAACCTGGAGACCTGTTCCTCATAAGTCATCAATTCTCCTTATGCCTAGTGGCACATGGGGCTTCAGAGAGGACTTTCCATGCTTTCCTGTCCTGTGCAATCTTCAGTGCAGTTTTCCATGTCAAAGATGCTGCACTCAGGTCACTTTCTATTGTGTTGGGCGCCCCTTCTTTCTCTTTCCCTCTGGCGTCAAGGTGAGAGCTGTTTTGGCAGGTATATATCAGGATTTATTCTCATAATGTGGCCAAGCTTATTCAGGAGTAATCAGTACCCACCCACACTGAACAGCAGGTGACCAAGTGGGGGGGGGGGGGGGGGGGGGGGGGGGTGGTGCTGAGTTTTTTCACGTTGACTTCTGTGAAGTAAGATTGGATGCCAGTGTGCATTGTTGCGCCTGTAAATAAAAATCCCTTGACCGTTGGAAATCGAAAAGAGCAGCCTGAACGGTCAAATTTGGAGTTCAGAATCTACCCAAAGTATTTCAGGATCCTCACCGAGCTCGTGTACTGTGCTGAGATTCTTAGGCTTGAGTTAGAAGTTGACTGGATCACTAACGGGTTACTACCATTGTGCTGTGATGTTGATATATTGTATAAACCCAACCAAGCAGGTGACTTCATAATCATTATGTGCCCCAATTTATTTGTTCTCCATTGTTGAACAGGCTTTCTGAATTTCAATCCTGTTGTATTTGCATCTGAAAAGTGACTCATTCTTGTGTAACTAGGTTTCAGTCTTTCAAGCTACATGCTTAGGTGCAAGAATGACCGGAATACACCGCAAAGAAAAAGGAGAGAGAAAAGTGTTTTCTTCTTCCTTGTCTTCATCTTCTTCTTCTTTGTGTTCACATTCGTTTTTACAGATCTGGCTTATTTGTATGCAGACTGTTGGTTTCTTGCCTCTAGGGCAGATGCACTGCGACCTTTAATAAGACAGTCCTAATAAGTCACCATGTAAGATGTGCTTTTTGGAAAGGTGGGGGGGGGGGGGGTCTGTTCTCTCCCCCCTCCCCCACCCCACCCCAAAAAAAATTGTGCCCCGGAACCCACATGGGGTATTGAGTTCAGTTTTAAGAACTGCCGATATCACAGCATTCTGGACATTCCCATGAGAGTTCCATCCCCATCTTCAGCAGCCAGGGAACAGTTCCAGCTCTGGCGGTACCAGTAACAGTCTGATTGTATGTCCATCTTGCCTTTCCTCTTGTTGTGGAGTTTCTGCCAGATGCCCTAGAGCAGTGGCTCTCAACCTTCCTAATGCCGCGACCCTTTAATATAGTTCCTCATGCTGTGGTGACTCCCCAGACATACAATTATTTTTCTTGCTACTTCATTACTTTAATGAATATGTGTTTTCTGAAGGTCTTAGGCGACCCCTCTGAAAGGGTCGCGAGCCCAGCTCACTAGCGCAGTATTCTAAACCAGACAGCAGCGACTGGGTGATGAACTTCTTATGGTCTGGGTTCCTGCCCGGGGGGTAGGCAGAAAAGCCACATTTCTCCCAGATTTACGGTATCTATCATGGAATTAGGGCCGAAGGGTTGTGATATCCTTAGTAGGGTTAGCAACTCATGGTTTCTAGATACTTAAAAAAAAAAGGTTGCGACCCACAAGTTGAAAACCGCTGCCCTAGTAACTCCCCATTGCCCCATTCTTTTCAGACCAAGATAATCTAAGTGTGCCTCCGCAATGCTCATTGCCTCTGAAAGAGCCTTGACAACATCTAGCTTGTTGTGCATAAATTTACCACAAAATGGTGCAGAGCTAGCCTAACTAGTCCTAATTAGTCATCTCATACGACATGCTTGTTGGACGGTAGTGGGTCTGCTTTTGTGTGTGTCCACCAAAATATGGTCCCGTAACCCACATGGAGAAGATATGTTCAAAACACTGCATCTCAATTTTCAGGCTAAATAAAGTTTATCTGGCATGTTTCAGGCTGTGGATGAACTCATCACTTTTGGAGCCGATCCAAGTTTGCCACTGACACACGGCTTGGGCAGTGCCATGTGTGTGGCAGCCAGCACTCAGTATGAACATCGACGCACATTGTCAAGTAGATTACAGCTGGTATTGTATTTTTATTATTATTATTTTTAAAGTTATTTTTATTATTATACCTCCTCCTCTGCTCCTTCTTTTCCTCTTTTGGTACTTCTTTTTTTTATCTTGTTTTTCCTTTTTCCTCTTCTTCTTCTGTCTGTTCTTCTTCTGTCTCTTCTTCTTCTTCTTTTGTTTTTCTTTTTCTTCCTGTTCCACTTCTTACGTTTCTTGTGCTTCTTCTTTTTCTTCTTCGTTTTCTTCTTCTTCTTCTGCTTCTTCTTCTTCTGCTTCTTCTTCTTCTTCTTCTTCTTATTCTTCTTCTTCTTCTTCTTCTTCTTCTTCTTCTTCTTCTTCTTCTTCCTCTTCTTCTTCTTCTTCTTCTTCTTCTTCTTCTTCTTCTTCTTTTTCTTCTGCTTCTTTTTCTTCTGCTTCTTCTTCTTCTTCTGCTTTTTCTTCTTCTGCTTCATCTTTTTCTTCTTCTTTATCTTTTTCTTCTTTTTCTTCTGCTTGTTCTTCTTTACCAACTTGTCTTATTCTTTTTAATTTTCTTCTGCCTTTTAACTGTCAATGGAGAATGGACCACCATGGACCAGATGGTTTAAGAATGGTTTATTTCTGCACCTGGAGGTTTTCTATGGAATGTCATAGCCAGACTCATGCCAACCCACATTAGTCATCTCTTGCATGTTCTGTAGGTTACAGTATTAACATTCCAAATTCACAGTGAAAACATATCCAGCCAGATGAAAGGTAGAATGAATTCAGCTTAACAATATCCCAAACACAATGAGAAGTGAAGGTTGTGGCACATTACATCAATCTACAATACCTCAAGTACGAGCAAGAATACACAAAAATTACCTAACTGAAGTATCTTCATTAGAAATCACATTGCTGTCTGGACAGTATCTCCTTTTTCTTCACCAGCTGTAAATTCAGACAGAGAGTTATGGTTATTTATCCACTTCTGGACTTTATTCATATTCAAGAACTTGAGTGTTGCATGCACATCCATTCTACAGATCTGGCTTATTCGTATGCCGACTGTTAGTTCCTTGCTTCTCAAGCATATGCACTCTGACTTAGAAGGAATCCCTTGATTAGTCTGCTCTTATGACATGCTTATTGACAAGGCAGTGGGTCTATTCTTGTTTTCCTCACAGTGATACCCTAGAAGCCAGACAGGGAATATAGACACTATATTATCTGAAATATATGTGGCCACCGAAAATAAATAGTGGCTGGAAAAAGGCGTGAGTGATTAGTGATTAGAAGGGATTTTCATCACAGCACTCTGGACAGATCCATAGGTGCTCCGATCTCCTCCTCAAAAGCTCCACAAGTGTAAAACAACTGATGACGCCTGTTCTGTGTTGGTTAATGAAACGTCTTGTCCCCTTTGTGAAATGTTTCTTGCAACTCCAGGCTGCACCCCCATGTCCATCAGACTAGACAGGGATATGGAGTCATGTCCTTTGACATGCTCCTAGGTACAGTAAGTGCAGCACGGGTCATAACTCAAAAAATATTAGATAAAACTGTGTTGGATGTTTAGTCCCGTTGACACCAGTAACACTTGGTGACAATAATGTACATTACCAACAATACTAACAGGTTACATTCATAATTCATTTAGTTCAACGTTCGTCTTCCCAAACAAAGTAGGTCACGTTTCATTGATAACTTTTTTGGGACTGGTCTACTTTACGAGGGGTTACAGGTGTGCTGCTCTGTTGTTTGCTTTCTGGCTTGTCTTGCCTTTATGTTTTTCTTCCCAGAAAGAGAATGCCTGTGACATAGGTTGCAGCACTCTCTAGGGGAGTTGGTGTTAGACCCAGTTTCTCCATGTTTTTGTAGTGTTAAGAGCGCTGGCGTGCTGATATTTACAACCGACGATATCAACGGCATTGCTGAACACCCTCATAGCAGCGTGCGAAGGTCGCGTGGCTCAGGCATTACCAATCAGAAGTGAGCTAGTGTGTATATGGGCAGTCTCTGGGGGGACTATCTTGGAACTAACCCATAATTCTAAGGCACGCGGTTTGATTCCAGCAAGCCACCTTGCATTGATTTGACAGTGGTACCAACATCTGACCATTCAGTAAGCAATTTTAGAGTAAAATGACTAGCAAAACCGAAAATAGTCAACAGATGCTGAGATTGGTTCTGAAACATCCTGTAAAGGATACACAACTAACTTTTATCTGACATAGGTAAATATGAAAATGAAAAATATCTTATGCAATAAATTGATCTCAATTAATCTCAAAATTTAATGTCAATAAGATGGTGCTAAAATATTACATAGAACCTGTTCTGCTGTGTGGCAGCAAATCTTGGAATGTCACTGAACAAATTAGGAAGAATTTGGAAGCAACAGAGATGTGGTTTCTGAGACAAATGTTACTAGTACCTTGGACTGCCAGAGTAACTAACAATGATTGTTTGAAAGAAGCTCATGAAAGTAGATCTCTATATACAACATAAAGAAAGAGACAAACATTGTTCTTTGACCGCATAATAAGAAGAGAGACATTGGAGAACATCGTGACAACTGGAAAGATCAGTGGAAAAAAAGGTTGAGGCAGACGAAGAGAAATGATGCTTAATGGGCGGAAACGATGGCATGGAGGGATATCACCAAGAGAACTGTTCCAGGCAACCACGGATCGTGATTTGTGGAGATGCTTGAGAGCCTACACTAGTTGGCAGGGCACATGATGATGATGATGATGAGGTAAATATATTTTGTTATAGCTGTGACTTACCAGATTTATAGCCCTGAGAATCAAATGTAAGCATTGTTGCTCTGACGCATGCTGTTGTCTCCCTGGCAGATAGAAAAGCTGGTCAAGGCTGGTGGTGATATTCTAGTTCCTGTTCCTGTTGGACCCAAAAGAATTATGGGAACAGTAGTTGACTATTTGTACCATGTGTACAATCAAGTAAGATCTTGCATGTTTATATAATTGTTTATGTGTAGTTTTGTCTATGAATGTATGCAGTGGCAAAGGATGACTTGGCAGGAGGTGGCTGGGGGCCATAAATAACCAATAGGTCAGACCTGGAGTATATTACTTTCAGAGAAGCTAAGTAGTATGCGAGCCAGATTTTCTTAGTATGGTCTGGTCAAAGGTTTTAAAAAAAATACCAGAACATGTTACACTTTGGTAGGATTCACAGAATTGACGCATCATACGTTGTTTGGAACTGAAAGAGTTAAAAAGGCATTTTGTACATTGCGCTGTGGTTTACAGCTAATCTGCAGTATCAGCACAATGTGCCCCAGACAGCAGAGCATGTACTCCAGGACTGCACGATTTTGACACATTAAGGCAAACCTTTTGGCCAGAAAGAACAACAGTGGAACGTAAACTCTATGGACCACTGAATGAACTAACAACGACAGTGAAATTTATACAAGAGACAAAACTGCTGATATAGACAACTTATTTCAGGCGAACGAAAGAAGAAGAAGAAGAAACAATTTATTAGTTACCTCTGTAAAATATTTATTTTTTATAAATGTTTTTTAGGGGAAATTTCCACAGCTTCATGATCCTTTTTTTTTTTTTAGCATTTGTGGAAGAAATAGCTAAAATATATTCTTTTAAGAAAAATATCATTATTAAATACTGACTTCATCATCATTATCATCATCCTTTGTGTGCCGTTAGATGTCATATAGGGCTTACATTCAATTCCTCCACTCTGCTCTGTTGCATGCAACTTTCTCGATTTCTGATATGGCGTTCAGCCAAGCATTTGTTTGCCTCTCGTAATAATGTCCTTCTTAACGTTTCCCTTGGACTTCCTCTTTTGTTTCCTATTTCAGTGCCTGTTAAAAACTGATTTCCCAGCCTTTAAATGTTGAGGAGAGAAATAAACAGCAGCAAAAGTTAGTAGTTGTGACGTGTTTAATAGTATGTTTGATATATATTGTCACGTATAACTCACAGTAAGACACTGCTTGCATCACTTGGTAGAATGCATGTTTGCTTATCAGTACAATGAAAATGTAAAGTTACTGTCCCTACATTTTGATATTTATCACCTTTTCTTTCTGTTGTCATCACATTGTCTCTAATTTTGCATGTAAGTAAGGAGCGACTGACTAAATGTTTAAGACAGCTGCGCTTTCCTGCTTCTCTCAGCAATAGTCACCTTAGAGTTTCTGGTGCTTTATTAATATCCTACCCCAAACAGGGAAAATCCAGAGGTCACAGGACAGTGTAATATTTCAGAGGGTGGTAGATAGGCTGCATGCAGTCGTGAGACCTAGACTGCACTCTCTTGTGGAACGTAGGTGGGTTGAGGTTAGGGCCAGTTCTAGATGTTTTGTGGTCGTTAAAAGCATCAGAAAGCCGGGAAACCCTGTATTCTCTAAAATGTTTGACTGTCCTGTGACGTCATCTGAGGGTAGGATATTAATAAAGAATCGAGTTTTTCTTAGATGTCCTTTCCTCAATCCTCTATTTCCCATTTTAGTGCCTGTTTAATGATTGGCTGGTGCAGTAGGTTAAATAAACGATCCCTTTCAAACCATGAAGCATACCGAGTATTTAGTGTTAGCCAAAGATTTTATAGACCAATCAGCATTCAGTATGCATCGGTCACATTTATTTCTCTGAACATTTCCTTGTACTTATTTAAGAACTTCGTCCTTTTTAGGATGAAATTTTTCATTATTGGAATCCCTGCTCTGGCTCTTGCCAGGGGCCGCAATTTGGCCCGGCCATAAATATGGCCTAAAGGCTGAACGCAGTTTCTGGGACCTCTCCACGGGGATCCTCATCCACATAGTGGCACATTTTGTCATCGGGTGTTTATTGCTTGTGTGATGTCCTGGTGGGGTAGAAAATCAGTCAGCCAGTCTGTACTTATTTGAGGCTTGGTCCACCTGACAGCCCAGGGCAATTTTCTTTTAACTGTACAACCACAGCTCCCCTCTCTTTTTCTCTCCTTCCTGCTAAATATATATATCATCACTAGGGATCGTTGCTAGAGTGTTTGTGCTTTGTGTGACCCTCTTGGCATGCAGATAGCCATTCTGCAGAGAGATACTGGTCCATGTGGAATAAAACCTGGAATGATGAAGTCGACGTTAACCTATATATATATATATATATATATATATATATATATATATATATATATATATATATAGGTTAACGTCGACTTCATCATTCCAGGTTTTATTCCACATGGACCAGTATCTCTCTGCAGAATATATATATCTCAAGTTTTTTTTAAATATATTTTTATCACAGTGTAATTTTAGTGCACTTTTTTTGTGTGGTGATAAATGCAATGGAAGTTACATTAACTCTTTGACTATTTGACTACAGTACAGGAATAAAATCACTAGCTAGAATAATTTAAATAGGCAAATTGTAATGAATATTTTTATTTGACACAACATAACCAACACACAGCTGACCTATTTTTTAAATGGACACACTGCGAACAACAATCGGCAACCTTTACACCTTTTGGCCCCATTTGAGAAGTTGCTAAGTTGGCATTGCTGGTGGCCAGTCCTCAACAAGCCTAGTTCCTGACATTGGTTCTGTTTGCGTCTGTGCAGTGTTTCTATCTATCTATTGTCTACTTCACTTTTACCGGGTTGCAGCCCAGTGTCGTGGTTTAAAATATTTGTTTTGTGCCTCTCGCGTGATTTGAGTGACAGTTTTCTGGATCTTCTGGCCGTATTCAGCTACTCCATCTATCCATTTTTTCCTGGGTCTTCCTCTGGCCTTTCTTACCGATGTTCTATTGTAAAAGGCCGTATAGGCAATCTGATCCAGTTGCATTCTTACTAAATGACCAAACCACTTCTTTCTGTTTTTCAATATGTTCCATGCATGCTCTTGTTCCAACTTTGTCTCTAATGCTGACGTTTGGTGCAGTGTTTAATACCCCCAATATGATTATATTTACTAAAAATAGCATTTGAGAAGATTGAGGTTGGGGGGAAAAAATTGTCTTTTTAGGGAAGATGATGGTTTGACTATTTCATCAGAATGCAGCAAGATCAAATACCATCACAGGCACTTCATCTCAGAAGATCAGCTACAAGAGGACAGCCGCAAAAATATGGATCAACAACAATAATTACACTCCACGCCTTCACGGCATGTCAATAGCCAGTGGCAGCCAACGTGCACTAGAATGCAAATTATTCCTCCTCACGACGCTTAACGGCAGAAGTGGTTGATGATGATGATGTAATAATTCCTTGTCAGCCTTTACCAACTACTCTTCTTCTTTGCCTTCACCTGTAAACTCCAGTACAGTTGCAAAAGTGAAGTTCTTGAACAGAACCAAAGTTCAGAATTGGACACCCCCCTGTGGGTCCTAGAGCCCTATTGTAGGGAAAACAAGAATAGACCCACTGCCAGAGTTTACAGCCGGTGAACATGAAGAAGAAGAAGAATTGGACAACAACAACAACAAAAAACCAGAACTTCCACCAGAGTTTAAAGCTGGTAAAGACTAAGAAGAGTAACACTAATTGTGGTCTGCTATGGGTCACCATATAAATAATTTTTTTTAGGCTAAAGGAAAGAAATCATTTAATTGTCAGCTCCATGCATATTTATTAATCATTCCCCTTCATTTTTTTCTTCAAAATATTTTCAAATGCATATAAATACATTTTGTTGTAAACTTATTAGTGACCTGTATGTTTTTAATAAATTTTTTCGGAAATTCCTGGGTCGTGGGTTTTTCTTTAAAGAGTTTCTGGGGAAAAAGTGTTTGAGGGATACATTGTAACCTTGACAGTTTTAAGTACAGGTGGAAAATAAATAATCTGATGAAGATATTCATTTTGTAATTATCTGCATTAATTGTTACTTAGTGGAATAATACAAACATTAAAGGTAAAAAAAGAGTCAAAGAGTTACCATAAATGGAACACTTGCCTAACACTTTGTGCTTGTTTGTTATTTTCTTCATGTGTCACCTTGTTATAGGATCGTAGAATAGCTCACGTGCCTTATCACGCCCTCACTCCCGCAGAGCGGGAAACATACAATGCCCGTCGCCAGCTGCTAGCACATGTAGGAGATATTGCCAGATTAAAAGCAGTGGAGAGAGAGAAGAGAAGAAACTTGGAGGAGGAGAGAGAAGGAATGAGAAGTGAGTTGTTATTCTTCCTCTTCTTCTTTTATTCAACTGAAATAAGTTGTCTATATCAGCAATGTTGTCTCTCATATAAATTTCACTGTCATCACAGCCTCTCCTTCCAAACTTCATCAAAAACTGTCCTGAAATCTATCTGTGCCGAGTGGTAGTTTCAAGTTCTGGAATGCTGGGAGAGGTATGTTGCATAGAGTGGAACTTTCTAAAGCCCGTCTGCTGTGGTGTAATACTGTTTTCACTTTTAGAGTACTATTGTAGTCTGAGGTTGGTGATGCCCTCAGTTATTTGGATGGTAAGACTGACTGGTCTGTAGCTGGAGATATTGAAGCTGTCCTTCCTGGGTGAGAGGTACTATAATTACCTGTCTCCAGAACTGTGGAACTTGTCCTGAAGCCCAGCAGTCATTGTAGATCCGTAGCAGCTTTGCTTTAGCTGTTGTTCCGAGGTTTTTGATCATTGGATTGGATATACTGTCAGTTCCTGATGACTTCCTTATATTTAGCTTCACTGTGGCTAACTGCAGCTCACTAAGTATAATAGGTGCCTCAAATGCAATTTCAATTGTTATTTATTTTTGACTTGTATATTGTCTTTATTTTCTAGCATCTCTTGTATTTTCTGTGAACTGATTTCAATGTTGTTGTCTTTAGCAAAAGAATCTACAGAGAGGTTGGCTGCCTGTTTTCCTGTGATCATGTTTCTATCCTTTTGTAGTATAGTCTTTGAGTTCCACCCAGTACTCTCATCATTAATTTATTTAACTAGCTTCCATAACTTTCTTATGTCTTTTTCAAAGTTCACAGACTTTGTTTTTTTCCTGTGATCATGTTTCTATCCTTGTGTAGTATAGTCTTTGAGTTCCGCCCAGTACTCTCATCATTAATTTATTTAACTAGCTTCCATAACTTTCTTGTGTCTTTTTCAAAGTTCACAGACTTTGTTTTTTTCCTGCCAGCTTTTCCTACTAGTCTGCAGGTTTGTTTGCCCTTACCAGTTTTGTTTTTACATGCTGGTAGTTTTTCTCCTGTTCTTGGTTTGGCTTGGTCTCTGCTTTCTTTGGATGTTTCCACTTCACTATTCCAGTATGCTTTATAATGCTGACAGGTACCTCTAGGTGAGTTGTTATGACACTTATGGGTTTTATACTTTTATCTTGAAGCAATATTTGAGGGTCACAGCCAGGCTTTTGCTTGTGTTACCAGAATGCAACACCGTGGCTTAGACTTTAGTGCCCTTTGATGTTAAATTCATATTTTTATAATGAGTAATAAATACAAGAGCAATAATCATCATGGCAAAGGGATCTTTAGTAAGATGCAAAAGATTCTCACCAATAGGGAAATGGGACTTGCAGTTAGAAAAAGTGTTAAAGTGTCACGTAGAACCTGTGTTATGTGTTATGAGTTATGATTCGAGTTATCTTCACGGCACTCCGGACACCCTCTAAGATATACATCAGCTTCCCGCGATTGATAGTCCCAGTCCTGTCTTGGTTGACAAGACTTCTTGTACGTTCAGTGTGCTTCTCGTGCCTGGCTGTGCCGATCTTAACTTCCAATTCTTGCACTCTTAGCAAAGATGTGGATGTGCTGCTCCCAAAATCCTCCAAACGTCCAACCTCTCTAATGGCGTTAACAATGTCAGCATGATCCATGGGCCGGCTCACTGTAACTATGAACAGTCGGTCACAGAAGTCATACCATTTGGAAACTTCCTATTCCATTCATGCAGAGAAGCAAAATTGCTGTGATTGCCGGCCATTCATCAACCACCGGGTCACCAGTAGTTGACTTTGTCACCTGTCGGGACAGTAGCTGGGTCTGTCTCTTCTGATCGCATCAACACTGCAAGAATCATTTTCATGGCTACTTGGTGGCAAGTAATGCTAAGCCATTTTCTAACCTAGTCAAAATGATAAACAAAAGCTCCCTCTTTCGGGATGCCGGTTAATCGTGACGATTTTTCCCCCCCCCGCAAAATAAGGAGAGAAGGCTGACGAGTCAGCAGGACACTAGATAATGATGATAGTGGTGTTAATGGGGGGAGACTATCTCCCTGTTGACACGCAAGCAGATGCCTTGGAGTACTAAAGTGAATCTTATCAGAACTATTTTTTTGGCCAACACTATGCTGTCAGTGCCAGATGTGGACACTGACATCCTCCAATGAACGTACAATTGTGACAACAGAGATGACATTCCTTAGAAGAGCTGCAGGAGTTTCAAGGACAGACATAATATGAAATCATGAAATCAGACGAATGCTAGGAATAAAGCCAGTCTTACAAGTCATCAATGAACAACAAATAAAGTGGTTTGGACACCTAACAAGAATGCCCTGGCACTATCTGCCACAGCGAGCCACACTAAAATGTTACAACAGGTATATAGTGAGTAAAAGACCTAGGGAAATATGGAATGATGGCATTAAGATCAGTCTTACAGAAATGAACATCAGTCTTAACAGAGACAAATGAGTGTCCCCCCCCCCATCATCCCCCCCCCCCCCCCCCCCCCCCCCCCCCCCCCCCCCCCCCCCCCCCCCCCCCCCCCCCCCCCCCCCCCCCACCCCTGACACTTCGATGAGGTACAAGATGGAAGAGAAAAAGAAGAGGAGGAGGAAGATGTTAGGAGACAGGGGTCTATTCCCCCACCCCCAGATTGGAACCCTGGAACTCAAACTGCTATCGCTGCAATATATGATTGAATTAGATTAAGAGTTTTACTTCTGTTAATTTTGCTTCAGCATAACGACCGTTAAACTCTTTCAGTCCCAGGCAAGTAATAATTAAACTTGTTCCGGGAAGGCTAACTCAGGCAACAAATGCCTGCATAAGTGGGATGTGTCGGCCGAAAGGCACTAATATGGTAGCCATGTTGTTAACATGTACAACACATTTGAGTTATGGAGGAATGCAAAAGAAGAATTAAACTGGTTGATTCCTGAGTATTTGTTACCTTCAGCAATTAATGTTTAGTTGCAGGGCGGTTAAAATAACAACATTAAGAGACAATAGAGGTTAAAGTAACATTTGCAGTAGTAAGGGATATTGTAGCAGATGTATGGAAAATACAGGATTTAGAAAAGTGTAAAACCTAATGATTGTTTATTCAACGGATCAACAATGAATAAAAACAATCCCTACATAGGTAGGAATGAGTTGATTGGCACTAAATGTGTTAAGTCACTGGGTGTCAGTCCATTAGGCAGCTTCTTTTCTTCTTTTGTCAAAATCTGCTTGTGCCGCTAGGCGTCGCAGTCTATCAGATGATCGGCAACCGAGCCAGGGCGCGTTCAGTCGCTTCATATGCCGTGATGTTATGAAGTCTCAAGTTGTCCGTGACTCCTTCAATCCATCTTCTTCTTGGTCTTCCCCTGCCTCTTGGTGTTTCGATTTTCATGTTGTATGCTCTTGATGCTGGCATCGTTGGTTCCATTCTCATTAGGTGACCAAACCATTTCATTCTTTGCTTCTCAATAAATTTAACGATGGGTATGGTTCCAATAGTTCTTGTAATCACATCGTTTCTCACTCGATCTCTTCTGGTTTTATTCGCAGCCATTTCTCAAACATCTAATTTCACAGGTGGTTAGTCTTCTCATCGTGTTCTTTTGTTAATGTCCAAGTCTGACATTGATAACCTAATGTCGGTATAAAGATTGTATTTATAATTTGTCTTTTTATCTCAGCTGGGACAGCAGGGTGTTTTAAAATTGGGGCAAGCTGGTATGCGACATTGTTGGCTTGTTGGATTCTTTGCTCGATCTCTCTGTCTATATTTACCATTGAATGTAAAGATACTTCCCAAGTATTTAAATTCTTGCACTTGTTTTAGGCTGTGATCTAGAATCTTTATGTCGATGGTCTGTTGCTCTCTACTTATGCTCATGACTTCTGTCTTTTCAGTATTGATCTTCATATGATGCTTGAGGCAACTGTCGTGTAGTAGATTTATGTGGTCTTGCAGCTGTTTACATTAGGCAGCATTTCAGAAAAATAAAAAAGTGTAAACTACATTTTTAAAAAATTTTTATTTTTTTTTTATTTCACGTTTGAAAATAATACACTTTTCTGTTGCTATTTTACACAGGCCAAAGTCCAAGTGCAAACTTTGTGTATACTGGTTCTGGAGCAAAAGTCCCTCCAGGTACAAAACCAAAATCTGCATCAAAAGCTGGTCACAGCCAAGTGAAATTTGAATCTTCAAATAAAGAAGAGGCAGAAAGGTATGAAATTCTTCTTTACTGCTTTATAGGAACTCCATAGTGTAGCGGCTAGAAGATGCTCACCTGCAAATCCAAAGCTTGTGGGTTCAAATCAGAATGGAGTTGGACTTTATTTTTATTTTTTTATGATCTTGTCTTCAGATCAACCTAGCCTTAAATAAAATGGGTACCAGTCCTGGAAAGTGAAAGCGACTGGTGGAGAATGGGAGACAGTTGACCATTTTGCATACCTGGAATGCTTAGTCAATAACAAATTATCACTGGACCAAGAAATCAACATCAGGATAGGTACGGCTGCAACAACAATGAGCAGATTAATAGCAACAAAGAGTTTGGGAGAACTGAAAGCTCATGATTACCCAAAAAACTCTTGTCTATCAGGCTTGTGTTCATAGTACTCTGCTTTATGGCAGTGAAACTTGGTCAACTTATTCACACCAGGAAAAATGGCCATACAGCTTTCACATGTGATACCTAAGAAGAATACTTGGCATAAATAGCAAGACAGGATAACAAAAACTGAAGTATTGGAAAGAGCAAGTACCAGAACAGTCACTGAAAGCTCAGACACACTTGGATAATGAAGAATGGTAAAGTCCCCAAGGACATCCTCTATATTAAATTACAGATAGGTAGAAGATGTTTGCAATGGGACATTAATGGTGCAGATATTAAGGTAGATTCATGGTAATAGGAGGTCATAGACCCAGTTGCATGGAGAAGGAAAATCGTGAAGGAAGTAGGAATAAAAAGGAAAATTATATAGGTTCAGAGCTGAGCATCTCAGAAGAGTGGAATACTATCACATACTATCACAAAACATTTTCCAGAAAGCCCATGCTGTAACTGTGGATGATTTTTCTTAACATGAGCAGCCCTTGCTAGTAGCAGGTATCACAACAGTTTTCTCAGTGCTTAGTCTCTGAAGGCTCAGGTGGCAGGGTCACACTTGGAGAATGGTAGAGTCCTTAAGGACATCTTTAATGGTTAATTACAGATATGTAGAAGATATTGATGTCAGCCTCTTCTTCTTTTTCTTCAGCATTCCCAGCCCTTGAGGTTCATTGCTGCAGGTATCACCCGCTTCCATTCATCTCTCTGGTTGGCCTTTTTCATTGCTGCAGGTATAACCAGCCTCAATTCATCTCTCTGGTTGGCCTTTTTCAGCATTCCAAACCCTTGAGGTTCATTGCTGCAGATATTACCCGCCTCAATTCATCTCTCTGGTTGTCCTTTTTCAGCATTCCGAACCCTTGAGGTTCATTGCTGCAGATATCACTCGCCTCCATTCATCTCTCTGGTTGGCCTTCTTCAGCATTCCGAGCCCTTGAGGTTCATTGCTGCAGATATCACCCGCTTCCATTAATCTCTCTGATTGGCCTTTTCAGCGTTCTGAATCTTTGAGGTTCATTGCTGCAGATATCACCCGCTTCCATTCATCTCTCTGGTTGGCCTTCTTCAGCATTCAGAGCCCTTGAGGTTCATCGCTGCACATATCACCTGCTTTCATTCATCTCTCTGGTTGGCCTTCTTCAGCCATTCGAGCCCTTGAGGTTCATTGCTGCAGATATCACCCGCTTCTATTCATCTCTCTGGTTGGCCTTCTTCAGCATTCAGAGCCCTTGAGGTTCATCGCTGCACATATCACCTGCTTTCATTCATCTCTCTGGTTGGCCTTCTTCAGCCATTTGAGCCCTTGAGGTTCATTGCTGCAGATATTACCCGCCTCAATTCATCTCTCTGGTTGGCCTTCTTCAGCCATTCGAGCCCTTGAGGTTCATTGCTGCACATATCACCCGCTTCCATTCATCTCTCTGGATGGCCTTCTCTTTCCATTTGGTGACACTGTTTGCAGGTCTGTCTGGACATTCTTCTTGGTCTGCCTTGTGGTCTACAACCATTCATCTCCTAAGTGTACACAGTTTTCACTTCTCCGTCATCTGACATTCTTTCACTATGCTCCAACCATTTCAGTCTATTAGCTCTCATGATGCCAGTTATCAGTGGTGATTTAAACAGATTTTCGTTTACATCCATCCAAAATCGAGGCTTAGATATTTGTTTCATGATGAGACGAAGTTTTTACAAAGGTGGGGGTGTCAGCCCCACGCTTTAACCCGCAACCTGGAGGACCTCTACTATCAATGATACAGTTATTCATGTAGATTCATGGGAACAGGGAGCCATTGATCATGTTACATGGAGAAAGGAAATCATGAAGGGAATAGAGATAACAGAAATGTATTGCATATAGGTTAAGAACTGAATGACTTTCCGAGCAAGATGGCAGCAGTCATAGTTGTGTTTACTAACTGCCAATAAAAATATATAAAGAAAATGGAATTCATGCAATATTTTTAATTAGTGAGATGCAAAAGTAACAAAAGAAGTTTTTTTTTCAAGATTTTTGCCGGTGCTACGGAGTTTCATGCATCTGAGATGAAACCGTCTTGGAAATACGTTCAACTGTTTATATGGTTTTATCAATCGTCACAGGCTGAAGGATCTACTGAAGATGGGATCCGAGGACTTTTTTGATGTGCAATGAGGATAATCTGCCAAATAACTAACTAACTAACCAACCAACCAACCAACCAACCAACCAACCAACCAACCAACCAACCAACCAACCAACCAACCAACCAACCAACCACCCACCCACCCACCCACCCAACCAACTAACTAACTAACTAACTAACTAACTAACTAACTAACTAACTAACTAACTAACTAACTAACTAACTAACTAACTAACTCAGAACTGAACATCTGAGAAGAATCAAATTCAGTGCATCCTGCCGCCAAAATTGTCCTGAAAGCCATGCTTTGACTGTGGAAGACAAGACTTTTCTCAGTGTCAACAGGCCTTGCTTATCACACTCGCCATGGCCATGGGTTGTGATTCACATGCCTCCTTATAGCAGACTATTGTCCGAAAAGGCAGAAAGTTGCCAGAAAATATTAAACACAAATTCACTACCAGAAAGGAGAGAGAATTAATCTCTTTAATATATTTTATGTTTTCAAGTTTGATTTTCTTTTCCATTTGTTCATTTACGATCACATAGCAAGCAGTCATTTAACTTTTTTCAGTTTCAAACATATGTGACACACACACACACAAAATATTTGTTTACTGGTGTTATTAGTCGTTTTCTTTGATTCAGCAGTACTAAATCAAATAATCCTGGGAAGTCTAACCATGACAGTAAATGCCTGACCAGGACAGTAAATGCCTGACCATGACAGTAAATGCCTGACCTTGACAGTAAATGCCTGACCTTGACAGTAAATGCCTGACCAGGACAGTAAATGCCTGACCTTGACAGTAAATGCCTGACCAGGACAGTAAATGCCTGACCAGGACAGTAAATGCCTGACCTGGACAGTAAATGCCTGACCTTGACAGTAAATGCCTGACCATGACAGTAAATGCCTGACCATGACAGTAAATGCCTGACTTTGACAGTAAATGCCTGAACTTGACAGTAAATGCCTGACCTTGACAGTAAATCCCTGACCAGGACAGTAAATGCCTGACCTTGACAGTAAATGCCTGACCATGACAGTAAATGCCTGACCATGACAGTAAATGCCTGACTTTGACAGTAAATGCCTGACCTTGACAGTAAATGCCTGACCTTGACAGTAAATGCCTGACCTTGACAGTAAATGCCTGACCTTGACAGTAAATCCCTGACCTGGACAGTAAATGCCTGACCTTGACAGTAAATGCCTGACCATGACAGTAAATGCCTGACTATGACAGTAAATGCCTGACTTTGACAGTAAATGCCTGACCTTGACAGTAAATGCCTGACCTTGACAGTAAATGCCTGACCTTGACAGTAAATGCCTGACCTTGACAGTAAATACCTGATCATGACAGTAAATGCCTGACCCTGACAGTAAATGCCTGACCTTGACAGTAAATGCCTGACCTTGACAGTAAATGCCTGACCTTGACAGCAAATGCCTGACCTTGACAGTAAATGCCTGACCTTGACAGTAAATGCCTGACCATGACAGTAAATGCCTGACCATGACAGTAAATGCCTGACCATGACAGTAAATGCCTGACCTTGACAGTAAATGCCTGACCTTGACAGTAAATGCCAGAAGAAGTCGAATGTGTCTGCCAAGAGGTGAAAATATTGCAGCTGTGCTGTAAATAGACACAGTGCAATTACATCTTTGAATGAAAACAGAAGATGAAGTATCATATAATCACTTGACATTAAATGCATGTTGCATATTCTTCGCTGCTGCACATACTCATCACCAACAAATAATGGGTCTGTAACTACATTAATTTTGTCATAAATCTTGCATATCAGTATTCACCATATATTAGGATCGTTCATTTGAAGCCAGTTCGTGCCGCACCACACCTAGTTGCATGCATTGAATATGATCATAGATATGTAACAATACTGACCAGTGAGTAAAAAGAACATGGTTATCATCCTGTGAAGCACAGGTTCTGTTTCTGACCTATGAGAAAATCCCCGAATTGATCCAGAATCAGTCTAGAGAAGCTCAAAAAGCGGTGATTCAGTTTCTTTCATTAAAAGGATATCAGTCAGTAGACATTCGTTGAAGAATGCAGACAGTGTGTGCCTCAGAGACAACAGTTACAGTCTGGTCTGGTCATGAGTGTTTGGGAATGAACACAGGCTCACAAAAAATCTTCCATGGCTGCATTAAGCTCATATTGTTACAGCAGAAAAAAAACTGTCAAAATGTATGCAGCAATTCAGATAAACCATTGTCAAAGCATACGTTCACTAGCAAAAGAATTTGATGCACCGGGTCAGTTCAAAAGGTTATTGTTAAGAAACTGCAATATTGGAAGGTGTGTTTACAGTAGGTACCAAGGATGTTGATGCAGTAAACACTTGAGATGAATAGAAGCGGGTGATACCTGCAGCAATGAACCTCAAGGGCTGGGAATGCTGAAGAAAAAGAAGAAGAGGCTGACCACAATCCCTTTTTTGTGTGTGTGTGTGTGTGGACGGCATTCACAACCTACTTGAGCAATGGGATGCTTGCCTGAATGCCTACGACATCTTTTTCTGACCAACCCGCCATCATTATTTGATTTAAAATGAATTCTTCTTTAATTCTGCCACCCTGTGATGTTTCTTCCATGCTTTTGTAATAAAGTCATTATAACGGGTTTCACTGTCTTTACTGTGATATCTCAGTAATGTCACAAACAACATCAATGATATTCTGAATGGCGCTGTGTTCGTTCTCTGATTACATGCTCTTGAGGCCGCGTTGAGTTCTTTATCTCTAGTTACTTTGTTAACTGTTTATAGAGTCTGTAACTGCCACCTGGCTTCTAGTGCTGTCTTACACTAATGGCTTAATTATTGACTCTAACATCTAAACATTGTTTCTACCTAATGTGACTCTGTTAACCATGGATCCATGTATTTTGTGTGTTGTCTTTGTAACTCAATGTCTTGTTTCATGTCTCTTCTCTAGTGTCTGTCTTCGAGGCGCTATGTGACTGGCTCCTCTCCTCTCCTTCTAGTGTTGAGCTGGCATCTCCACAGCTGTGAGGGTCCATGTTACTAGTCCCTCCTCTTCTGAGTCTGGTAGACTGAAGGATTACCAAAGCAGTTTCTTACTCATTATTTATTCTTAGAAGTTGGAATGCTAGGTATTTGTTTTCTTCTCACTTTGACTGTTTCTAGAATATTCTTGTATGCTAAAACTTATTTACTATGTGCGTTCTCACGTGGGATTTTCTAATTATATCTCAATTGCATCCAATTGCATCATCTTGTTCTGTACCTAAATATAGTCATTAAATTGACAGCTTCCAGAAAGCCAGTACTACTATGTTCTCTTTGATAAGACACGTCAACAAAGACATCATATACTATTTATAGATTTTTCATTTGTAAAATATTTCTCTGTTAATAACAAATGAAGGTCTAGAAAAGAAAAATCAAGGTTACCAAAACTTGTTGATTCTGGTACATATTAGCTTTGCGCAAAATCCTACCTCCTAACAAACAAGTAATGACATCTCCCTGTAACACTGTCCCCTAGTGGAGCATAGGCCTTCACCAGCTGGGGCCATGTTGTTCTATCCTTCACTGTTCCATGCAGCTTACGTCATGTCCTCACTATCTTTTTAACTTCATTCTCTAGCTCCTTCTATGTGTTTTTTTTTATTAGGGCGAGGTTCTGCCTTTATTTCTATGCCTCTGTGGGTCCCGGTTCAAAGTTATCCTAATTATTTTGTTCTCAGGATTTCCTCAACCTGTGTCCCATCCAATGCCAGTATCTTTTCTTCATCTCTGGAACCTGTTTAGTTCTCTCCCAAAGCTCTTTATTATTGATCTGGTCATTAATTTTTATACTGCTAGACTGATGTGTCCATCACCGCTAATTTTTGTCTTTCTACTTGCAATACACTATGTACACGTATAGTCAGAGTAACTGCTGCTTGTGACAATGCTAATGATGTTTATGTTACAGTTTTTCACCCATTATCTTTTGTGCATTTAATTTATTATATTGTCCTTCTTCTTCTTGGAGGTGGAGGTAATTACTCCAGCCTTCCACTAGCTTGAGAACCATCTGGATACACATGCCATGATTGTAACTGACTGACTCATGGGGTATGTTGAGAAAAGTGGAAACAAGTATTCTCTGTGCAGAGTCGCAAGCATCACTTCAGAGGTCCTGGGTAGTTAGTGTCCTTTGAATATTTTCTGCATGTCATGGCTGTGTGTGAGGAAATGAACTGGCAGATAGTTTAGCTGGTTTTGGACCACTTGATGATAAATTGATGCCTGATAAGTTAGGTATGGTAAGGGCCCTTTAGGAGCACGTGAGCAGTGCAGGAGCACCTGATAAGCTAGGTATGGTAAGGGCCCTTTAGGAGCACATGAGCAGTGCAGGAGCACCTGATAAGCTAGGTATGGTAAGGGCCCTTTGGGAGCATGTGAGCAGTGCAAGAACACAAATGTATCATCATGGTGTGAAGAGGATGGAGCAACAAAGAGTGACCTGGAGATGTAGCTGATACTCAGAACACAGAGGTACATACAGTCAGAGGGCTGCTTGTACCATCAGAACTAGAACCATGTGTTCACTGCTGAAGATAGGGATGAAGCACTTATGGGAATGTCCTGATTGCTTTTTGGAATGTCCTGAGTGTCTAAGAGCTGTGATGAGGATTCATAATTCACCTTAACTTAACTTAACTTACAGAAAGCCACTGTTCAAGTACTGCTACGAGTGTTCCCGCAGCGTGGGTGTGCGTCTGACTGCATGCACACGGTGCAAGGGGGTGTACTACTGCAGCAACGCCTGCAAGATGAAAGCCTGGAACACCAGGCATAAAGATGAATGCATTCGAATAACAGGTGAGTTCATCATTATCGTCATCCTCATTATCAGTTCCCCAGGTGGGTTCTGGGGTCCCACTGTGGGAAAAACAAGAATAGATCCACTGCCTACCCAAAAGCATGTCATAAGAATCGACTAACTGGGAACTTGCCTGAAAAACAAGGAAACAACAATCTGCATACAAATAAGACAGATCTGTAAAACAGATGTGCATGCAACACTCAGGTTCTGAAACAAGACTTAAAGTCCAGAGGTGGATGAACAGCCAGAACATTCTTCTGGAGTTACACTGGTGAATGTGAAGAAGATCATTATCAAGTAGCTTGTCCTGTACAGAACTTTGTCCACATTGCAATCTTTTGAAATTCCTCTCTGTCTTAGCCCTCATTGCCTGTTCCTGTTGCTCTCATTTGTATATCTTCTAATCTTGTATCTGTTGCTGCCATTTGGAAATCATTTACTCTTATTTCTGTTGCTGCACAAGCAAATTATCTATTCTTATTTCTGTTGCTGCCACATGTAAATCATCTATCCTTATACTTGTTTGGCAGTGTCTCTATTCTTTATTATCCAAAATGGAATAGTAAAATTAAATTAATCAGTCAAACATGGACCCTTACTACAACTAACGAAGGGAAGATCGTAACAGCAGAGATGAGATGATTTAGGAGAGCTGCTGGTGTGACAAGAAGAAATAAAATCAAGAATGAAGAAATTCGAAGAAGAATAGGACTGAAACCAGTCATACAATTTATTCAGTCAATCAATCAGGTGCCGTCTCCACAATGAAGGTTGGCTGCAATGGATCTCCAACAAACCCTGTCTCTTGCCCTTGATGTACACTCACTCACACTGCTGTTCGTCCATCTCTTGATGATATCCTCCCACTTGTAACGCTGTCTGCCTTTTGCTCGCCTACCTTGAACCTTTCCCTCTAGGATGATCTTTACAATACTGTTATGTCTTTTAATGTGGCCAAAATATTTCACTTGCCTCTTTTTTATTTCACCTAGCAACTCTCTTTTCATTCCCAATTTCCACAGTACCTCTGTATTTGATAGCTTTTGTTTCCATGAAATACGACCTAATCTTCTGTATATCCACATCTCCAAAGAATTGATACGATTTTCCAGTTGTTTGTTCATTGTCCATGTCTCTGTGCCATACAGTAAGGTTGAGAATACATAACATTTGACAATTCTCATTTTTAATGTATGCTTATTTCTTATTAATAAGTCTGATATCCTTTCCATCTAGTCCTATGTTTTGAAGAGCTGCAATTAGTTGTTCATGTTGCACTCTGTCGAAAGCTTTTTTGTAATCTATAAAACATGCATAAATATTTTTCTGAACTTCTATATATTTTTCAGTCAGCATCTTTAGACAAATTATGGCCTCTCGAGTACCACTGTTTTTACGGAATCCAAATTGCTCTTTAGAAACTTCTTTCTCGATTTTATCTTGAATTCTTGCTTGTATTATCTTCAAGAGTAACTTAGTTACGTGACTCATTAGGCTAATAGTTCTGTAATCTTCACAATCAACAGCTTTTGATTTCTTGGGTAGTGTGATAAAAACAGATGTTTTCATGTCCCTGGGAATGTGCCCATAGTTATAAATGTCATTGCATATTTCTGTGATAGTATCAATTCCAAAAGTAGATAATGATTTTAACATTTCTGCAGTTATGTTGTCTGGACCTGCAGCTTTTCCCTGCTTCATCTGTTTAATGGCTTTCTCTACTTCAGACTTTAATCTGTTTGGTCCCTCTTGAATATTATGGATTGGCGGTTTGTCACCTCTGTTGTCCTAAAACAGGTCTTCTGTGTATTCAGTCCATCTTTTTATTATATCTTTCTTATCAACAATAATTTGTCCATCCTTCCCCCTAATACACGCATTTCCTGTTAAATGTTTTTCCTTGTTTGTAAGTTTTCTTATATATGCATGTATTTCCTTGGTTCTGTGTTTTATTTCAAGATCCTCTATTTCTTTGCATTTTAACTGAATCCATGTTTCCTTTGCAGTTCTACACATATTTCGTATTTCTTTGTCTGTTAATGAATATTCTGGAGTGTTTTTTGCTTTCTTCCTTTGTGACATTTTGTTAATAATTTCCTCAGTCATCCATACTTGATTTTTCTTGTTTTCTTTCACTGGTAAGATGGCATTAGCTGTTTCTATACTAGTTTTGAAACATTCCAATTTTGTATTAATTTTGTCCTCTGGATTCTCCCGTCGATATTGTTCCATGCTTTCAACTATTAATCTGTCATATTTATTTTTAACCTCCACTAGGTACTGCTGGCTTATTTCTGGCTGTTTCAAAGCTGATATGCCTATTTGGGGTGACCTTTGCGTTTTTATTTCTGCTTTTTTAAGTTTAATTCATTTTTATTACCACAGGGTTGTGATCTGAATTTATATCCGCACCTGGGTATGTTTTGGCGTTCTTTGTGTTGTTTTTGAATCTGTTTCTAATCATTACATAGTCAATTTGGTTTCTATTTATATCTCCTGGACTCTTCCACGTAAACAGTTTTCTAGGTGGATGTTGAAAAAATGTATTACAGATAATGAGTTGGTTCTCTTCGCAAAACTGTATCAATCTGTCTCCTCTGTCATTCCTTGATCCCATGCCAAATTGCCTTCAATATTTTTGTGCTTCTTTTTCCCCACTTTTGCATTCAGGTCTCCCATAACTATTAAGACCTCTGATGATTTTACAACTTTCAGTGTTTGTTGTAGTTCTTCATAATATTCTTCAAGCTGTTCATCACTGAAGTCAGTTGTTGGTGCATATGTCTGTATTATTGCAATATCAAAAGGTCTTGCCTTGATCTTGATCAATATAATTCTGTATTGTGAGCCCAGAACCCGCTAATAAACTTCTCTAAATTTCTTTTTATCAAGAATCCTACTCCACGTTCATGATGTTCTCCTCCAGAATTAATAAATATGTAATCATCTCTCTTTAGGCAGCTAGCTTCTGTCCATCTTGTTTCTGATACACCCAAAATATATAAATTCATATTCTTTGCCTCAGAAATTAAACAGTCAAATTTTCCAACTTGATATAACGTTCTAACATTCCATGTGCCAATACAAAGACATCTCTTTCTACTTTTCAGATATGTGTTGTCAGAATGTGCCCTTTCAGAAGAATTTAAGGCGCACTCGTCATTATGCTCTACCCTAGTCAACAGAGGATTTGTCTCTTCCCTGTTTGTATTTACAACAGGCATTACTCCAGGGGGCCAAGATGTGCCTGCATCGCTTTTTCTAACTTGTTGTGCTTCCATTACTGTCTTTGGGTGCTACGTGGTAAGGTCCCAATCTTTTCCACGATGGCCAGCCATGTTTTCCTTCGTGTCCCAACATGCCTCATGTGTGCCACACACTTTGCTGTTTCGCTTTGCAAGCCGTTGATCTATATAATTAGATTAGTATCCCTTAGTAGGATATTACTCCCACTTCACTCATGTAGTTTAGCCAGTCAGCCAAGACTGTTGCCCGTGGTGTGGCCACCGCCGTACACAAGCGGTATTCGTGGAGCCATACATGAGCTAGGTAAAGAGATGAGAACCAAATAGGATCCTGGACTATCCATACGGATATGGCTGCCACTCACTGTGAGGTACTATCCCTCTCTCTTTACCCTACACCACCATACAATTTATTAAAGAACAACAAATGAGATGGTTTGGCCAATTGACGAGAATATCCTGGTACCAACTGCCACAGAGAGCCATGCTAAAGAAATATAATGAAAACAGATCAAGGGAAAGACCACACAAGATATGGAGCGATGATTTTTTTTTTTCGCAAAACATAGAAAGAAGACTGACAAGTCAGCAAGACACTAGATTTTTGTCTGTCAGAGACAAAATAAAATCCTCACCTGCACAGCCGTAGCGACAGCACTAGCCATGTGGCCATAAATCCTCAGGCTAAAAGACCCCCCTGCCTACACCGCAAAAGTGGTAATAGAGGCAAATATTGGCATATTTTGGCCCCATTTTTGACATGCATCAAAGAGAAACAGTGTTCTATTATCTCCATTTTTAAAACAGTAAAGTGGTAAAACCTATAGAAGAAATTCATCAGCAAATGAAGATCCAGTAATGTGATGCATGTCTGTCAGTCCAGCTTGTATTTTTAATTGCAAAAAGAATATGTTTCATTTTATTTTTTAAGCTCGATCCAGAAGCCCCAGTGCAAAGAGCAAGAAAGAAGTTCCAGGTTCTGCAACTGCAGCAAGCAGGGGAAAAGATATCAAAGGTTCTAAAATTAACGTGAGTGGTCTGCTCTTTTAACACATGCCATTTATTGTTGGTAAACTATTTCATCCTGTGAAACGCCACTTTTGCTAGGGATTTTTATATTTAACTATTTTTGTGCATCTTTGATTTGCTGCTATCAGGGTACCCAAATACTTGAATGCATTGACTTGCTTCAGACAAGTCCCATTCACTTTTGATGCTGGATTCTTGAGAATACACACACTGTGGAAATAGAGGTGGAGACAGTGTTGTGTGTTGATTAAGGCTTTCTCGCTGTAAGTTAGTAAGTCAGTTAGTTGGCTAGCTGGTTAGTTAGTTAATCTAATTGTGTTGAGTCAGTATATGGCTAGCTAGTTAGTTAATTTAATTGTGTTGAGTCAGTTAGTTGGCTAGCTAATTAGTTAGTTGGTTTATTTAATTGTGTTGAGTCAGTTAGTTGGCTAGCTGGTTAGCTAGCGAATTTAATTGTGTTGAATCAGTTAGTTGGCTAGCTGGTTATTTATTTAATTTAATTGTGTTGAGTCAGTTATTTGGCTAGCTGGTTATTTATTTTATTTAATTGTGTTGAGTCAGTTAGTTGGCTAGCTGGTTAGCTAGCGAATTTAATTGTGTTGAATCAGTTAGTTGGCTAGCTGGTTATTTATTTAATTTAATTGTGTTGAGTCAGTTATTTGGCTAGCTGGTTAGCTAGCGAATTTAATTGTGTTGAGTTAGTTAGTTAGCTAGCTGGTTGTTAGTTAATTTAATTGTATTGAGTTAGTTAGTTGGCTATCTAATTAGTTAGTTAGTTAATGTAATTGTGTTGAGTGAGTTAGTTAGCTAGCTGGTTAGTTAGTTAATTTAATTGTGTTGAGTCAGTTAGTTGGCTAACTAGTTAGTTAGTTAATTTAATTGTGTTAAGTGAGTTAATTGGCTAGTTAGTTAGTTAGTTAATTTAATTGTGTTGAGTCAGTTAGTTGGCTAGCTAGTTAGTTAGTTAGTGAATTTAATTGTGTTGAGTGAGTTAGTTAGCTAGCTAGCTAGTTAGTCAGTTAGTTGGCTAGCTGGTTAGTTAGTTAATTTAATTGTGTTGAGTTAGTTAGCTAGCTAGTTAGTTAGTTAAAGTAATTTGAGTTAGTTAGCTAGCTAGTTAGTTAGTTAGTTAGTTAGTTAGTTAGTTAGTTAGTTAGTTAGTTAGTTAGTTAGTTAGTTAGTTAGTTAGTTAGTTAGTTAGTTAGTTAGTTAGTTAGTTAGTTAGTTAGTTAGTTAGTTAGTTAGTTAGTTAGTTAGTTAGTTAGTTAGTTAGTTAGTTAGTTAGTTAGTTAGTTAGTTAGTTAGTTAGTTAGTTAGTTAAGGAGCTAGCTAGTTAGTTAGTTTGTTAATTTCACTGTGTTGAGTTAGTTAGTTAGCTAGCTAGTTAGTTACATTTTTTTTGAGTTAGTTAGTTAGTTAGTTTGTTAGTTAATAATTAGCTAGCTAGCTAGTTAGTTAGCTATCTAGTTAGTAAGTTGACAGATCATCATCATTGCACATTGAATCATTCGTTGTGTAAGTGCTCGTTTATCTCCTCCTCAGTCAATCCAACAGCATATAATGGCTAATGACACCATTTCTGTGCTGGTTAATTCTTCTTCTTTGATTTCCTGCATAGTATTCTTGTCTGGCCTCACCCCTTTCACTTCCAGACTTCCAATCAACAATAGCAGTGGACAGCAGTGATTTTTCATAAGCAGTTTATTTTCACAGAAAGATGGATAATTTCATCTCTCTTTGCAGGAAAGTAGAGGTGCTGAACCACACATGGTGGTACACCAGGACCGTAGTTTCTGCCGGTCAGGACTTATTCACACCTCTTCATGTCCATCCCAGAAACAGGCTGACCTCCTTCTTCTTCTTCTTTGATCACCATCTGTAAGCTCCAGCAGAAAGTCCTGTTTGTTCGTCCATTTGAACATTGGCTTTGTGTCAGGGCCTGACTTTTGCGTGTGTATCCATTTTACTGGCTTATTTGTGTGCAGTTGGTTGTTCCTTGCCAGTGGGGCAGATGTACTCCAGTTAGTCGACTCCACCGATGTGCTTTTTGGGGAGGCAGTGGGTGCGTTTTTGTTTTCCCCACAATGGGGCCCCGGAACCAACACGGGGGAGAAGCAGGCTCACAATAGGGTGCTTGGCCAGTATAGACAGGAATGTTCTTCAAATTCAGACTGCATATGCCTGATGCACTTACTTACTTTAAACCAAAAGTCTGCACCCAAATAAGCCAGGTCTGCAAAACAGACCTGCACCCAAAACTGAAGTCCTGGAACAAAACCAGAAGGGGACGAAGACCAGAACTGGTGCTGTTCAAGTTTCCAGGCCCAGGATTAGAGTAATTTTCCTAGCCATTCATGCCTCCTTAGGTCGCTGGACCTCTCCAATGTTGTGGGGCAGTCATATTTTCCTTATTGTGAATTGTTTGACCGTTGCCTCTTTTTTGTCTTCTCACCGTTCACTTGTGTGATTATTTTCACGTTCTGCTACCTGTGCGACAATTTGGTAGTATCAGAACAGCGATATTTTTCTATTCCTGCACTCCTTGCAACTGCTTACTTTCTCTCGGGAAGGAGGGGGTGCCATTGCCAACGAAGGTAGAAATACAAAAACATCCCAGTTTTGATAGCCAAGAATCGTCGCACCTGGAGCATTTTCCCCTTCATATTTCTTAGTTGTACACAGGCTTCGCTCTGAAATAGACTCACAACAACACAACCTACCACACACATTACATACGCTGAGCGAACACCAAACCAAGCCATATCATAACCCCCCACCACCCCACACACAACATAGGAGAGGCCGGCTACCCAAGGAAGCATAGAAGGCAAGGGAAATTACTCTAAACCTAGGCCTGGAAACATGCACAGGACCCCAGAACTTGCTGCCGCAGTTTACAGCCGGTGAACGTGAAAAAGAAAGATCAGTTCTCTCACATGTAGTTATTATTACCAGGTTGCACTTGACTCATTGTGTTTTACTGCTATAAAATGTTAGCTTTCAGATAAGGACGTTTCTAGTGCTTCGGTTTGTTCTTTGCAGGTCCAGTTCAAGGGTCTCACCAAAGATTTGGAGGATGGCAAAATACAAGCCAGTCATAAGTTCCGAACTGGAAGCCCGCCAAATTATGAATATGTTTACGTGGATAATTACAGCCATAATTAGGATAGTAACAAAAAAAACAATTATTTTTACAAGTATTTTTTTTTTTTGAAGCACTGTGCTGAGCTTCTTCAGACTCAGACTTGAGTTTAAAGAAAGAAGGGAGCTTTTATGGGTTACTAACCGTGTGCCATGATGTTGATTTCTTGTTCAAACTTCAAACTTCATTTCTCTGGTTTTACAAAGGTGAATTAGAAACAAACCTGCCAAAACTGTCTGTATTTACCATTTTGTGTGGTGTAGGCAGGGAGTCTTTGAGCCACATGACTAGTGCTGTTACCATGGACTGTGCAGATTGGGATTTTATTTTACCCTTGATAATATTTTTAAAATCCTCAGCATTACCGAGGATTTGAACCAAAAGAGAGCTCTGCATTTTAAATCATTCAGCCATCAACTGTGGATTAGAACTGTTAGTTTTTGTGTCATTTCACAATAGTGGATTAGAAATGATGTCAGTTTCTATGTAATTTCACAAAAGTGGATTAGAAATTATGTCAGTTTCTATGTTATTTCACTATAGTAGATTAGAAATTATGTCAGTTTCTATGTTATTTCACAATAGTGGATTAGAAATGATGTCAGTTTCTATGTTATTTCACAATAGTTGATTAGAAATGATGTCAGTTTCTATGTTATTTCACTATAGTGGATTGGAAACTATGTCAGTTTCTGTGTTATTTCACAATAGTGGATTAGAAGGCATGTCACCTTCTGTGGTCATTCACAATAATGGAAATGGATGGGAATTTATGTCATTTTTTGTTATTCCTAGTATTTAAGAGAGATTTACAAAAGAGTTTCAGACAATGAAATAAGGTGCAGACCTGATAAGGAGAACTGACCAGGAACCCAATAAATGGTTCATATTATCAGAAATCCCTCTTATTCCGATCAGAGTTCAAGCAAGCAAAATTGCCGGGATAAACAAATTGTTCTTCACAACAGAAATTCACCACATTCGAGATCACCTTAAAACCATCTGTTGATCTCATGAAAAGGCTTCCGTAGAAGAATTTGAAAAATCATTATTCATGTATTGTATAGTTATTATACAGTTATCATTTGCTGTAATGTTACTGTTAAATTTAATTTCATCTCTCTTTGCAGGAAAGTAGAGGTGCTGAACCACACATGGTGGTACACCAGGACCGTAGTTTCTGCCGGTCAGGACTTATTCACACCTCTTCATGTCCATCCCAGAAACAGGCTGACCTCCTTCTTCTTCTTCTTTGATCACCATCTGTAAGCTCCAGCAGAAAGTCCTGTTTGTTCGTCCATTTGAACATTGGCTTTGTGTCAGGGCCTGACTTTTGCGTGTGTATCCATTTTACTGGCTTATTTGTGTGCAGTTGGTTGTTCCTTGCCAGTGGGGCAGATGTACTCCAGTTAGTCGACTCCACCGATGTGCTTTTTGGGGAGGCAGTGGGTGCGTTTTTGTTTTCCCCACAATGGGCCCCGGAACCAACACGGGGAGAAGCAGGCTCACAATAGGGTGCTTGGCCAGTATAGACAGGAATGTTCTTCAAATTCAGACTGCATATGCCTGATGCACTTACTTACTTTAAACCAAAAGTCTGCACCCAAATAAGCCAGGTCTGCAAAACAGACCTGCACCCAAAACTGAAGTCCTGGAACAAAACCAGAAGGGGACGAAGAACCAGAACTGGTGCTGTTCAAGTTTCCAGGCCCAGGATTAGAGTAATTTTCCTAGCCATTCATGCCTCCTTAGGTCGCTGGACCTCTCCAATGTTGTGGGGCAGTCATATTTTCCTTATTGTGAATTGTTTGACCGTTGCCTCTTTTTTGTCTTCTCACCGTTCACTTGTGTGATTATTTTCA